CAATTCAAACAAACACTGTCCTACAAGTATAATATGTTTATCATATGTTTAATATGAGTTAATCATATAAAATTACATTTCAATAACATATTTTTAAATAACAGGAATGCCCTTAACTTGGTTAAAACATTATCTTAGAACAGGAACTACCTTAAAATAGCAATTCAAGATCATTTAAATATTTTTTTTTTATAAAATACTAACAACTGTTCAACCTTTACCAGGCTTGATATTCTAATATTAAGAATAAGCCGGATAAATGTTAAATAAAACTGAATAAATAATAAATGAGTAAAGACATAAAAGGTCAGGCGAATGAACATTGCATTCACCATAACTAGAACACTCATTGATCACATGTGTAGCCTCATCATAGCCAATTGCAATGTTGCATTTAGTGTGTACATGTAGCAGGTGATACAAAAATCATTAACAAAGCAAAACCAATTTTTTAATCAAGGGCCATAACTCAGCTAAAAATTATTCAACTGCGAAACCCTTGTAATATGCATAAGTTCTTGAGCTATCAATCAATCCTGTAATGCTACATTGAACTTGCATTAGTGGTATAAGAGGAGTAATCCCGACAAATTTGAAAAATTAAAAACATTCAAGGGCCATAACTCGACAATCATTGAACCATAAAAAATGCCGAAGACATGCAAATGTAGACTTGGTACCGATCATTCCTGTAAAGTTTGGATCAAATTGCACTGGGAATTTTTGAAAGGTAGTCCCGTCAAGTTTTATGATGAACAGACAGACAGATAGCCGGACGGACAACAGAGAAGTGATCCATATATGTCGCCATTACTCTGTAGAGGCGACACAAAAACAGAAACAAATATGATAATATTCAATGATTGGAAAGTAAAAAATAAAGTTTAAACATGACCTTTAATATGTGTATCTGCCATGAGAGTTATAACAGGCCTGCAGTGTAATATCATATCTTTACAGACTATGGTAAAATTTTAACACAGTAATAGTTATGGCAAAAAAAACATTGAAACCACTATATCATTTAGTTTATTCTTCAATAAAAACTTACAAGTGGTTGATATCATATTTTGTTTCCATTTTCATTTTCTTCAAAATTCATTGGTATATCTTATTGATTTCATCAGCATTAACTAGTAATTAAATATTATCCTGTTCAATCAGAATATTATATTCACAGTGTATTAAAATTCAAAACATTATTTCAACCACTTAATTTCTAGACAAGTGTTTGTTGAGTCAGCATTGATTCAACTAAATCTGTTGTGTGGCCTAATCCTAACTTAACCTTGTTGTGTTGCTGTGCTGTGTCTGAGCACCTGACATAATTAATTTTATTAGTGCTAACTAACAAACACTAACATAACCCATTACTTCATGAGCAATTTGTGAAAAATGGCTGTTTTCATTGAAAAGTCTCCCGTTACAAGTTCAAATTGCTATAATACTAAAAAAAACTGCTTCAACACTAATCAAACTTGGCACAAATGTTGACTGGACCATTGCCCTTGCAACAACATGCTCAGGCTTAAATTTTCTGTTACCATGGCAACGAGGGGACATCTCAAAATTGCCAAAAATCACTATTTTGCGTTGATTTTTTCCATCAAAATTGATTTCAAAGTGCTGTAACTTTTCAATGGATTGAGATAGAGTCAAATGCTTTTCAGCGTTGGTTACACGTTACCTTATGATCAATCTGGGGTCATTTACAGCCTCTCACAAGTCCAAAATTTTCTTGGCGATGAGGGGGACTCCGCCCCCCTTCAAACCCACCAAACAGAAGGGGGCACTTTCCCCTTCTGGCAACCTCCTGATGTATCTTTTGGTTGGGGGGCCGCGCCGAAAAAGAGGTCACTTTTTTTAACAACATTTCTAAAACAAAAACAAGTGTTTGGGGCCTAAATTAGGCATTTTTTCATCATTTGAGACAACAAAAGGGGGGGGTGATAAAGGCGTTAAAAGGCGTGTATATGAAGTAATGGGTTAATATACTAAAAACAAATTGATAACAGAAACAAATATCATATTAAAATAGGATTTAACTAAGTTAAACTCACTGCAGTGTTGTAGCAGTACCTCTAAAGGCTTGCAGAAATCATGATCACAAAATAGACAAATATCAATTTTATCGCCAAGTCTTACAATTTTCATTCATAGAGGATATTGAATGAGTGTAAGTTCAATACTGAATTTATTGCACGAGTTGAATAAAATTATATTATGCGAGCCTCTGGCGAGCATAATATTATTTTATTCAACGAGTGCAATAAATTCAGTAATGAACTTACACGAATGTAATATTCTATTTATCACATACCCAAAATAAAGACCGTTTAAAGTAAAATAAGAGTCATTTTTCATTGACGCGCCCATAGTATAACGCTATCATTTAGCGCGTCTTTACACTATGTTTGTTAACGCTAATGACGTCACGTCAAAATATATGCACGGCCGTGCAATACCATATTTACGGAGTCGCAAAATCGGCACGGGTGTGTGATAAATTAATATATTGCATATACAATGTAAATCGGTGAGAACAGATAAGTAAGACTTCTTAAAAAGCATTTCGGCAGGTGAAAACGTGAAATTTCAGCATTTAAGCATTCAAGCACCTTGTCTGGTATATACCAAAATACGGTACATGTATTTATTTACTGTGGTGCTCCAATCCATTTTTTTAGTCTCAAGCATTAAAATATGATAATCACAATCTGAAAAAAGTTACGATCTTCTTAGTTTACAATTAAAAATTAAAACTCATCCACTTTCAAGAAAATGACAACTCAGGTTGCCTCATTGAAAGGTTACGAGAATTTGACCTCCAATTTGACCATCATTAAAAGTCTAGTGTTATTTAGGAGCTGAATTTAATCAGACTATGATAATCATTTCTTTTTTACCAAATAATATTGACATAAATGACACCACATAATTACAACAGACACATAAACAACATAACAATTCTTGATATCATAAAATAAATCTCAAAAACAATTTAACAATCAAAATCACTCTCACACTGAAGTTCCCCTTTTCCAGGTTATTAATACTCACAACAAAAAATTAAGAGTGGTAGATGGCTGCTGTAATAAATGTCCCAGTAATTCTGTGTACATGTTATCTTTTGGATTAGTTCTTTAGGATCAATGGTTCTTAAGGATTAATGCTACAAATTTCTTAGTGTTTAAGTTTGTATGCTGCTCAAGCAGTTACTACGGGATATAGGGGATACTGCACCTTTAACTACCTTTCATAACAGATGGACTCTTTTTCTTTCTGTTGTTGGGCTTTATGTCGCACCCATACAGTAAAGGCCATGTGGCTACACTTTCCAGCTTTACTTGTGGAGGAACACCTCAGGTGATCCACTGTGCATTATTTCAGGCATGAGTGGGCACCTAAGTAGAGCCAAGGAAGGCCCTTGAGCTAGCTGGATAGCTTGATCACATGAAAAAATCCAAATTCCCCCTCAGGATTTAAACGTACAGCTGTAAGAGGTGGCCAAGGATGCCCCAGATCTCGATTTCAATAATATTTTGGCAAAATGATGGAATGAAAGACATATTACAATAAGGCAAAACATAAGCTAAAGCATGTGAATGCTTAAGATGTTATTACTTAATAATGAATCTTATGTATATAAACCTAATGCTCAACTAGTAAAAATGTGAGTTAACATTATATTCCCATTCTCATTTATAAGTTTGATAATTGTTATACATGTTCATGAAAGATAATAACATTAACTCTTCACTAAAAGCAGATTATAGTGTTTTTTGATTTGGTTGGGTTTGAGATCTCATCAACTCTGTAAGGGCCAAATGGCCACTTTCCAGCTTTAATAATGGAGGAAGAAATCAGATGCCCACCCAGGCATTATTTCACACACAACCAGGCCTCTGGGATGAACTACCAACCTTCCTTAAGATAGCTGGATAGCTTCCTCACATTAAAGAAACCAAAATTGCTTATGGGATTCAAACCAACAACAGTGAGGGGCAAATAAACAAGAGCTGTCAGAAGGACAGCGCGCTCGACTTTTTTAGTGCTTGCCTATAAAACAAAACTTTGACAGTTAAGGGCACACAAGACTTTAACTAGGAATTTCTAAGTACAAATCAAGAAACATTTTCACAGAGTTATCTTCTCTTGCTTACAGATAGGTCTCATGATGGCACATAAGAACTCCAACTTCCAAAGTAATATCTCAAATGGTTAAGTCAACAAGTGGACAAGAATGAAAATCTTAACTGAGTTTCTAAGTCAAAAAGGGCCATAATTCAAATAAAATCCTTAACAGAATTACCTTCTCCTGCCCATTTTTGGGACCATGATGGTAAACAAGTATTCCAACTTTCAAATTAATATCTCAAACAGTTCAGTCAAAAAGTGGACTGGTACTAAAAACTTAACCAAGATTCTAAGTCGATAAAAGGCCTTAATTTTTAAAACAAATCCTTGACAGAGTTACCTTCTCTTGCGTACAGATGGGGGTAATGATGTGAAATAGCATTAAAAGTTTCAAAGCAATATCTCAAAGGGTTAAGGCAATAAGTGGATTTTACCCATATTCAATGTATTTTCTAAGTCAAAAAGGGGCATAATTCTGTCAAAAACCTTGACAGAGTTATGTCCTCTTGTCTGTTGATGAAGGTCGTGATGGTAAACAAGTATGGTCAGTTTCAAAGCAATACCTCCAATGGTTTTGAAATAAAGTGAGGTGGTACAAAAAACTTAACCAAGCTCAATACACTTTCTAAGTCAAAAAAGGGCCATAATTCTGTCAAAAACCTTGACAGAGTTATGTACTCTTGTCTGTAGATGGAGGTTATGATGGTGAACAAGTATGGTAAGTTTCAAAGCCATACTTGTAATACTTCTGAAATAAAGTGGGGTGGTACGAAAAACTTAACCAAGGTGTGACGCCGACGCCGACGCCGACGCCGGGGCGAGTAGGATAGCTCCCCTTTTCATAGAAAAGTCGAGCTAACAAAACTATTCTTACTTTACATAGAAATGGTGAATGGTAAAGATAATCAATGAGTATCCTGACTCCTCCACTCTTTGATCTTAAAACATATTGTTAGATAAATTTACAATTACCCATGTTTGTAACATCAATTTTCATTGGTTAATCACAGAATTCATTTTTCCCCATTTTCCAAAAACACTGCCAGCAAGGCTTAAAGGATTAACATGTTTTTTGTATTTTTTATACATAAATCGTCACATTAGTATTGTACACATAACAGGTTACCTTCTTATGTAACTTAATAGAAGTTAACCCAATACTGCACTAAGGTTACCAAATTATTACCCAAGATGACTATTATTCAATGAAGCAGGACTGGCTATGTAAGCATATAAGTATCATGTTCAAATTTCATGATTATCAATGAACAATATTACATGCATGCAAACAAAACAGCAAATCCTTGATGACGCACTTAATGGTTGATCACAATGGCTCATCGTAACAATACTTATAATCCTGTCCACTAAAATGAGCTCGAATAATCATTAAAATCATACGTAATCTCATCCTTTTTATGCCATTCTACGTCGTCAAATGATACGCTGGTAAAATGAAACAGTCTATACAATTGCATATTCTCGGATCGGTGTCTCATTTATAAATCGTTCAAATTGAAACCTTGTCAAATCGATAGTTTTGTATTCATCGTAATAAATGAGTTCGTAGATACCGCGTCCTATAGCCAACGCCTGCTGTACACCGTGACCGGACATCCCGTTGGCAAAGATCAAATTTGTGTGGTACGGGTGAGGACCGATGATGAGGTTCTGATCTACAGTGTTGTAGTCGTAGTAACCGGCCCATGCCGCCTTCAACTGAAAATTTTAACATAAAATTTAAATTGCATTTATGAAATAACTCAACCTGATTTGATGTATTTATCTTTTATTGTATATTTATTATTACTTTAGTTTCAGATTGGAATTTTTTTTATTTTATTGATTCCATCTTAACTTTAATCATTTTGCTATGACAAAAGTATAGGATTTTATATATTTAATAATTTTATATACATGACGTAAAACATAAACATCTGTTGTAGTAATTCCTGTGATTCCTTAAGATTTTCCAAGCAAAAGAATTAAAAATCAAAGTACTTGAAGCAAAAGAGTTAGTAATTAGGATGTTATCTTAAAGGGACTCCACTGAAGTTTTTTCATACAATGGAACTGAAATTTTTTTTCCATTTAAATGTACCATTTGATGTAGGTTTAGACCTGTAATCTTTGTGCAAAATTCCAGATCATTCGCGTACTTTGTTTTTCCAGAATAATTATTCACATTGTAAATGTTTTTACTCAAATCGGACTAAGAAAAGCATTCAAATACGATTTTCAATTATTTTAAAGTATATTTCTTAACTATCTTTACATATATTTCTGTCTAAAAATACCCAAGCTCATTTATGTAAGAAATTTCAATAATATGTTTTTAGGCTTTTAAACCTCAGTGGAGTCCCTTTAACTTAAAGAAGTTAATTTAGGGAAAGTAACAAATATACATTGTACGATAATTTGAAAATCTGCCAAACATTCAAATATAAAATTCCAATTCAAATACACATATTTGAAAAGAGTCAGTCTATAATCAATACAAAGATAAATAAAACAGTACTAGTACAGTTTCAGTAATCTTCTGATATGAGGGCTTTTAGAAGCTTAACAAGAGCTGTCAGTAGGACAGCATGCTCGACTATTCTAAGTGCTTGATAGTAAAAGAGCCTTCATAATGTTAAATTTTTTAAGTTCACTAAAGGGCCATTCTTTTTTATAAATTCATGTTATAGGCCAATTATACAGTATTGGCTTGACTATTCGGAAGGTAATGTCACAAGGGTGTTTTATTGAGTATAATAATACTAATAACCTATGAATACATAAATTTGACAGAAAAGGTACAAAGGCTTGTTATTAAGATGTTTTATCAAGTAAATCACTGCTTTATTATTATGAATGCATAAAATTGTCCCAAAAAGGCACAAACCCTTCAGTAGTTATTGAGATAACAGCTTACAAGCAAAACTTTACCATGAATTTCTAAGTTGAAAAAGGGGAGAAAAATCAGCCTAAATGCAAGATAGAATTATGGATCTTTGTCAGTGACCTACAATTATGACCCTAAATGCATATTTGAAGTTTTAAATAAATATCTTTAATAGTTATTGAGATATGTAAAACTTGCATGTAAACATTAACCCAGAGACTAAGTAGAAAAGGGAATATGAATCAGCCTTAATGCAAGATAGAGTTATGGAACTTGGTCAGTGACATACAATTATGACCCTCCAATTATGACCCTAAGTGCATGTGTAAAGTTTCAAGTAAATATCTTTGAAGACCTTTAACCTTTAACCAAAATTTCTAACTTTCAAAGGGGCAAATAATTCTGCAAATTTTGCAGACAGAGTTATGCAATTTTGCAAACTGATGTACATTGTTACTATAAAAAAGTATTTTAAATTTCAATTGAATATCTCAAGCAATAATTGAGATATTTGACTTTATAAAAAAACTTTAACCAAAATTTCTAAGTTCCAAAGGGGCATAATTCTGTCAATATTGTAGGCAGAGTTATCCAACTTGTCAATCTGATGTACCTTGTTACTATAAATAAGTATTGTAAGTTTCAATTGAATATCTCAAGCAATAATTGAGATATTTGACTTTACAAAAAACTTTAACCAAAATTTCTAAGTTAAAAAGGGGCATAATTCTGTCAATATTGTAGGCAGAGTTATCCAACTTGTCAATCTGATGTACCTTGTTACTATAAATAAAGTATTGTAAGTTTCAATTGAATATCTCAAGCAATAATTGAGATATTTGACTTTATAAAAAAACTTTTACCAAAATTTCTAAATTCCAAAGGGGCATAATTCTGTCAATATTGTAGGCAGAGTTATCCAACTTGTCAATCTGATGTACCTTGTTACTATAAATAAGTATTGTAAGTTTCAATTGAATATCTCAAGCAATAATTGAGATATTTGACTTTACAAAAAACTTTAACCAAAATTTCTAAGTTAAAAAGGGGCATAATTCTGTCAATATTGTAGGCAGAGTTATCCAACTTGTCAATCTGATGTACCTTGTTACTATAAATAAAGTATTGTAAGTTTCAATTGAATATCTCAAGCAATAATTGAGATATTTGACTTTATAAAAAAACTTTAACCAAAATTTCTAAGTTAAAAAGGGGCATAATTCTGTCAATATTGTAGGCAGAGTTATCCAACTTGTCAATCTGATGTACCTTGTTACTATAAATAAGTATTGTAAGTTTCAATTGAATATCTCAAGCAATAATTGAGATATTTGACTTTACAAAAAACTTTAACCAAAATTTCTCAGTTAAAAAGGGGCATAATTCTGTCAATATTGTAGGCAGAGTTATCCAACTTGTCAATCTGATGTACCTTGTTACTATAAATAAGTATTGTAAGTTTCAATTGAATATCTCAAGTAATAATTGAGATATTTGACTTTACAAAAAACTTTAATCAACGCAGACGCCGACGCCGGGGCGACTACAATAGCTCTCATATTCTTCGAATAGTCAAGCTAATAAAAACAAGAGTTGTCGGTAGGAAAGCAACGCTCGACTATTCTTAGTGCTTGATGGTAAAAAAATTCTTGATTAAAAGGTAAAATTTCTAAGTAAAGAAAAAGGCAAAATTTTTCTTTTAATCCATATTACAGTTATAGGCCTTGGAGAGTCAGGTTGGGGTCATGATGGTGAACAAGTGTGCAAAGTTTCAAAGCCAAATGTCAATGGACTTAAAATATTTAAACTATTACAAAAACTTTAACGTAAATTCTAAGTCGAAAACGGGTCATAATTCTGTCAAAATGCTTGATACAGTTACCTCCTCCTGTCTACAGGTTGGGGTAATGATGGTGAACAAGTGTGCAAAGTTTCAAAGCCATATGTCAATGGACTTTGAAAATATTTAAACTATTACAAAAACTTTAACATTAGTGGTTACGCCGACGCAGACGCCGCCGCCTACGCTCGGGTGACTACAATAGCTCTACTTATTCTTATCGAATAGTCGAGCTAAAAATTAAATATTCATGATATTTGAATGTATTAAAATATGGCTTAATGAATATCAAAATCAGTGTAATGGAAATTTGAATAAGGCATAATGAATCCTCAAATATGGCTTCATGAATAATAAAATACTGCATTATGAATATTCGAATATGGCATAATGAATATTCGAATATTGATTTCAGTATTTCTTTCCCATCCATTACAGTACTATTTGGCGTATCTATGCTTATAAATCAAGCCAGAAAAATAAGTGACTGTGTAAGACAACTGTGGTCTTTAAATCATCAATGCCTATACTAATAGGGTTCAAAGTACAAAATTTGTTCACTATAGGCACAGAGTTAATTTCACTTTCAATCAATTTTTACCTTTGGAAAAAAAAACATCAATTCTACCTGATGTTGCCATACCATGCATATTTTTTATCCCAATGACTTTGACTCTAGCGATCAGAAAACTAACCAGAGAGTAGCGTTCTGTTACATATAGAAGACATAAAGATATCACTTAAAAACTTCTTAAATGCATGCTCAAGAAAAAAAATATTGCAAGGGTGTGGGGGAGGCAAAAACTTCTAATATGCTATCAACTTCGAGATATGATAAGTAACAAGAAAATTACAAATCAACACATCACATGCTATCAACTTGACGGACAACTGAATCTGGTTATACAGTGTCACGAAGTATTGTATGTACCTTAGAATTATTGAATGCTGGAACCCTATGCGCCAATGCTGGCCAAACAAAATCAGTGAAGAACCCGTAGTCAACAGAAAGGTCATTTACGTCAGGCTCACTATCCTGAAATGTGATATATCATTCTGTATTATACTTATATGATGAATTACTAGCAGGTGAAACATAAAAACAAGAGCTTCTCATATAGTGTTTCTCCCAGTTTGTAATCACAAAAATATTGCTTAAAGAATTATGTCCCTTGACTTACAACTGTACCTGGTCATGATAAAGCAAGTATTCAAAGTTTTATGTTGATAACTGTTAAAATGCTTCAATAATGGACTAAATTAAAATATTTGCATGACGTTGATGACTCTATAGCGATCATAAAAGCAAGATTTTCTCTTAGAATCAGACAACTTAAAGATTAAACACAATTTATCACTTTACCATCACAACTCTACCACTTATATTACTAATGATGTAAGTAAGAGAAACCCAAAATCTTAACAAAGTGTGATGCCAACGTTTATGCCAGCTTGACTTCAATCATGTCAATAGCTCTCCAAACTCTTTGTTTATTTCTTTTGTTTGTTTGTTTCATTTTTACGCCTTTTCCCAGCAGTATTTCAGTCATATAGGCGGGTAGTTTCCTAACCATCATTCCTGGAGAGTTACACCAGTACTAGACTACCTTCCTGTGCGCTAAACTACCAAAGCATCTCCCAGGGATCAAACCAACGCCAGAGAGGTAACTTGATTAGAAGTCATTGACTCTAACCCCTCGACCATGGAGGCCGTAATCCAAACACTTTGAATAGTTAAGCTAATAAAATAAGATTATCAACCTGCAAAACTCATTTTTTGTAACAAATGGGTGTTTACCTCTGTAGGGGATGCCCCGCATATGTAATGTCCTCCAAGCCCCTCCCTACGGAAATACACCCCTGACGTATCAACAAGGAAAGGTGCGTCCAGCATCGGGCCATCGGGGCAATGTATGGTATACACATATCTCTTTCTGAAGAATAATAACCATGATTATTTATTCGCATTATTATAACTTTGCACTGCAGAAATTTATTATTTTAAATAGCACAGTGTATAATACAAATCAGAAACACCTAAAACACCTAAAAGTAAATGATGAACTGTTTAAAGGAACTCCACTGTGGCCGAAAAGCCTAAAATATAAAATTTGAATTTCTTACAAACATCAACTGTGGGACTGGAAATAAAAGGATTGCAACAGACAATGAAATATACACTCGGATTTACATTGAAAACTTAGGTTTGTGAGATTCCTAGCTTTAAATGCTTTCCAATTTAAAAGTTATTTTTCAAAGTTTAAATAATTGTTCTGGGAACAACTGACTTTGATCTGATATTTTTGGTATAACTAGAATGCATTCGTATTTTGTATGAAAGTCAAAATACTACTTTTTTTAAATTTTGCTACTTCAACAAAACATTACTTCACATTCAGCCAATTTTTTGTCAGTTGTTGAATTTCTAATGTGCTCTAAATCCATTATTAATGCATGTTTTGAGATTTCTAATGAATTAAAAAATATGGATTTCTGAGGCATAACGTGCCAATGAAATTGGTGTAACAAACATGCAGTATTATAATTAATCAACACACCTTGGTTCAACAGGCAGTGGCAATTCATTACCAACCTCCCCAGTTCCTACACCTGCCATTGTTGCGATTTCCCCGGCCCATGGCCCGGAGCAGTTGACAAACAGTGAAGCATTACAGCCGTATCTTTTCCCATTCTTATGGTCTACCTACAATGGCAAACAAATTGTTATGATTAATGAATATAATTTACCCTTAACCTGGAGAATCTGCGTTAAATTGTCCCATTTTAAATATGGAAGAGTCCATCTAAATTGTTAAGGGTATTTCAGCACTATCAAAATAAGCCTGCCCTACTCTATACTGGTGACAAAGGCTTACCACTTTCGATTCCAGCAAATTAAGTCTTAAAGTGGATTGGTCTACAATGGGCATATTTTTCATTTTGATAAAAAATGTTTGAATTTTTGATGAAAATTAAAGTATTGAAAGAAAAAAATGTTAATAAAGTTCTAAGTGATTTAGTATGATGAACATTTTTATGACAAATAGTTATATTTTGCTCCAGAACAATTTAACATCTGCTATATAAATATATGTAATCTCCTTTCATGTATCTCACACTTTCCAACAACATCCCCATATAGTTCTTTCAGTTTGTTGTTATAACTGATACTAATTACTATCAACATATTTATTTATGGTATTATTATTGTTTTGTTTTGTTTTGGGTTTTACGTCACATCGACACAGTATAGGTCATATCGCGACGTTCCAGCTTTACTGGTGGAGGAAGACCTCAGGTGCCCTTCCGTGCATTATTTCAGTAAGAACCACTGACGTTCCGTAAGCTAGCTGAATAGCTTCCTAACATGAAAAAATCCAAAGTCCCTGTCGGGATTCGAACCCACAGAGGTGAGGGGCAAGTGGTTTGAAGTCAACAACCTTAACCACTCGGCCACAGACGCCCCATGGTATTATGACCTTCCATTATAGACCAAAACTTAAAAATTTTCAACAACAAAAAAACTGTTGGCCACTTACATCAACACCCACAATTCTTGTTCGTGGAGTAGTTTCGTCTTCCAAAGGCACTTGTATTACCTCTTGTCTTATATTTACAATATTTCCCTCGCAATAATTCACATTATTTGTAATATTTTTGGCTTTAAGAGAGTGAACCAGCTGCCAGGGATCAAACCAGCCTTCACCAGAGGTACCTAAAATGTTAAAACATTTATCTTATTACATGTATTTTGGTGGTTTTTAGAAATATATCAGTAAAATATGAAACTGATATTTCACTGTTTGAAAGAATGAAATTATCAATTTGATATTTTTCACTGTAAGCCTTTTATGTTGTTTCAGTTGAATACCAGCATGCATAGTACTTAACAACTTAATGACATCACGTCATATTACTATTTGGTGTGATTTTCATTTTGTATTAGGTTAAAATGCCTTTTTAAATGTTTCTTTGCATATATTTGAAAGAAAATTTGTTTAGTTTAGTGTACAGTACGCTCACCGCGTATATATAGAAATAAAAGCTATAAGATTTTATTTGTATGCAATTATATTCTTTCAAAACGGTAAGCATGTTTGTTTGTGTTTTTTTACAGTAAAAACCCCGTCGAAAATGGACATGACAAATATGCATGACACTTGCCAAAAAGTTTACGGATACTGTACATTCCGTATATATGTTTGACACAAATTCAAAAATTTAGGATCAAAATGTATTTCACCTCCTGAACACCAAAATTCATTTTTCACTCCTGGCTGTGCCACTTGTGAAATACACATTTTGGTGCTCACTCGGTGAAATATATTCCCATCTTACACCATCTAAACATCTCAAACGATAATATACATGTACATTGTTTGCAAAGGGCAAGTGGCAGCAGTTTTCTTTCTTTAAAATATTGACACTGAGGAAATATGGTATTATAAAGGTCATAGGTTAGCAGGTGGAGGAAGACCCATAAAAATTGTCTCTTTCTGTATCACAAAAGGCAAATTTGGACATCCAAGTAGACCCACCGACCTTAGCTGGATAACTTTCTCAGGTATTAAAAGAATTTAAGAATTTTACTTTCTGTGGATAAAGTATTAGCTATATTAACATAGTAGATAATAATTACCTGGCTACCACCTGTGTTTATATACCATCTTTTGTACAGAACTATAGCCACTATACAATATACAAAAAGATCTGCCACTGTATCATATCTCACATAAAAACTATAACCAAAATTAAAACATACCCAAAGATCCTGCTTCTATACCATCCAAATTTAGCCAAGGATATTTTTCAGCAAGCTGTGACTTGGAAAGTAGAACTGTCTTTGCCCCATTTTCTCTATAAATATTAAAATTATAAGTCACTCTGCAGATAAGTAAAGTCTAGATAATTGAAAGAATCTTTTAATTCATTTATTTCCCTTCACATTGCTAGCCAGCAAAAAACTTTCTGAATTCCCATCATTCATACAAATGCAACAAATATGAAACAAAGTAATCTTGATATCAAATTGCGTTGAATACATATGGATCATCATGTTTAAAACATGTAATATTTCACATAAAACTTGTTACTAGTACTAATACACTTATTAGTTTTGTAAAATAAATATAACATAAAAACATCATGGAAGATGTTCATAAAAAATTCTCATGAGACTTGCTTAAAGCACTTGTTTATAGGACATGGTCTAAGCACTTGTTTATTGGAAATGGTCTAAGCACTTGTTTATAAAACATGGTAGTAGCACTTGTTTATAGGACATGGTCTAAGCACTTGTTTATAGGACATGGTCTAAGCACTTGTTTATAGGACATGGTAGTAGCACTTGTTTATAGGACATGGTAGTAGCACTTGTTTATAGGACATGGTCTAAGCACTTGTTTATAGGACATGGTAGTAGCACTTGTTTATAGGTCATGGTCTAAGCACTTGTTTATAGGACATGGTCTAAGCACTTGTTTATAGGTCATGGTAGTAGCACTTGTTTATAGGACATGGTCTAAGCACTTGTTTATAGGTCATGGTCTAAGCACTTGTTTATTGGACATGGTAGTAGCACTTGTTTATAGGACATGGTCGTAGCACTTGTTTATAGGACATGGTCGTAGCACTTGTTTATAGGACATGGTCATAGCACTTGTTTATAGGACATGGTCTAAGCACTTGTTTATAGGACATGGTCTAAGCACTTGTTTACAGGACATGGTCTAAGCACTTGTTTATTGGACATGGTAGTAGCACTTGTTTATAGGACATGGTCGTAGCACTTGTTTATACGACATGGTCGTAGCGCTTGTTTATAGGACATGGTCATAGCACTTGTTTATAGGACATGGTCGTGGCACAAGTTTATAGGACATTGTCACAGCAAAAATTTATAACACATGGTCATAGCACAAATATATAGGACATGGTTATAGCACAAGTTTATAGGACATGGTTATAGCACAAATTTATAGGACATGGTCGTAGCACTATATTATAGGAAATAGACATTGCACATAGGACATTGTCATACCAAAAGTTTATGGGACATAACACAAATTTATAGGACATGGTTGTAGCACAAGTTTATAGGACATGGTCAAAGCACAAGTTTATAGGACATTGTCATAGCACATGTATTTAGGACATGATCATTAATATATAGGACATGGTTTTTGCACAAGTTTATGGGACAGGGTCATAGCACAAGTTAAAAAGACATGGTTATAGCACAAGTTTATAGGACATGGTCACAGCGCAAAGTATATAGGACATGGTCATAGCATAGGCTAAATCAACATGTTCACACTTACTAATGTATATAGGACATGTTTTTTGCATAATGGTTATAGGATAGGATTATAGTATAATAAGCTCATAATACACACTTAATTGACATGTTTATAGGACATGCTTATAAAACTAAAAAATGTTTGTAGGTGATGCTCATAGGGCACCCTCAAATATCCATAAATGTTCAAAGGACTATCATGTTCCTAGGACATACATGTCCTGATAGACATGTTCTTTTAACATGCTTACAGGACATTCTTATTGGACGTGGTTATAGGACATGCTAACTGGACATGCATTTGGGGTTTGCCCATTCAACATACTTTTAGGCCTTTCTGAAAGGAAATATTAATTGGAAATGCTCATAGGCAATATTCATTGAGCATGCACATAGGACATGCATGTACTTGTAGCACATGCTCATGGCACATGCTCATATAAGAAGTCCATGCACATTTGAAAAGTATGCAGGGCATAATAATGATCTTTTTTCCTATATGTTTGACAACACCAAAATCTCTCCATAAAAACTATTCAAGGGGTCTACATAAAACTATTGTTTTTCTACCCCATTATTCAACTTACCTCTGCATTTTAACACAACTCTCTAAGAACTCCACTCTGTCTCCAGGAGCCAGAAACAGGTAACCTTGGTGATGAAAACACACCTCAGGTGGGTCCTGATCTGTTCAGATAAAGCAGATTAAAGATTAATGTCATCCTTTTTCTTTCCAAAAGCTCTAAAAAAGAATATACATGTACATCTATTTACACATATTACATTTTTAGTTTGATTAAAGCTTCACACCTCCATATGAGCCAAAATATTTCAATAAAATCAAACTTAAGAAAAATATACTTATATTGTTAGAAAAGTTAAAATACTCCAGATTCAAGTAATTGTGCAATTTTTGACTGAGTTTTTTCAGTAAAATGTAGCTCAGATATATTTCTACTGCATTACTAACCCAGTAGGCCCTATTTCAGAAATTTTAACTCTGATAATTTACATGGGTTTAAAGTGCCATTGATAATGTGTAAATTGCTTCCTTTTGGTTTCTTGACGATATTATTCACTTTAACACATTTTCAATTATTTTATGAAAATTAGCATGAATCTGGAGGCGTGCTGCTTTAAGCTATAAGCTCACAGACACACTCTCGTAGTTGTCCATAGAACCAACCAATTCTAAGCAATTAGTGTAAAAAAAGTTCATAGCTCAAGGCAGCATTTTATCAACTAGCATCCAGCAATATTTCCAACACTCAGCCAGCAATCCTTAGAAAACTTCATTGAGTCTGACCAACCATCATTGAAAACGTTTGAATATATATTTGACTTTACATATTAGTTATAACTATTATTCAAGTTTCAAAATCTGAATTAAAAAAATGTTCATGTTTTTTTTTGGCGTTTTTTTTTTCAAGGTGTAAAGTCAAACCACTGTACTGCTTGCTAAAGGTCATTTGGCTACTTCCCAACTGGAGGAGTAAAGTGTCAGATACAATCAGAAACTTTCTTAATCAAATATTAAAGTATTATACTCTTAAATTTGTAAAATATACTTCTTAAATTTTGGGCAGTCCTTTGTTATTCTAAAGGGTTTCAATTGCATAATGCTAAAATTTAGCAGTGATCAGGTTAGAATATGTTGAGATTGTTCAGAAATAAATAAGTCAGTAAGTAAGTATCCAGTATAATACTTGCATGATCTTGTTACTAGCATTCCAGCTGGGAGCTGCACTTTACTTTGCTGGAACCCAAAGTGATCAGCCTTTGCCACCAGTAATGAGTATAGATCTAGACTAGCCTGTACATTCACTCAGTCTGACCAAACTCTATACAGTTGGCTGGCTGATCTAAATTTTCATTTGATATCCCCATAAAATGTATCTGATCAATCTGATCAACCTGGGCAAGTCCATTTAAAAAATACAACAGGTTAAGGGTTTGATGTAACAGGGTTTCACCAGTGAGCTGTCTGGCAGGGACTCAAAGCCAGGACCCTCAGAATACTATCTTACAATTGAAATAACATTACACATCATCTCCTGAATTTTTATATAGTAAACATAAATAGTTCAATACACTTATACAATGGTAATGAAATGATTTACCATAAACACTGAGGTGTTCCTTGTAGTGCTTGAGAAAATCTGAGGTAAACATGGACATTTGAACATTTTCAGGTATTGAAAACTGGTGTCTAATCCCACCACAGGACAACATCGACGACGCCCTTGTATACTGAAATATATCAATCAGTAAATGAGCCGCGTCATGACAAAAACAACATAGCGCGTTTGTGACCTGCATAAATCCCAGATCAGCCTGCGCATCCGCGCAGTCTGATCATGTTGTTTCCTATCAGCTTCTATACTTGCAAAAAGTATGGATCCTTATCAGACTGCATGGATGCACAGGTTGGTCTGGATCCATGCTGGTTGCAAACCCATTATGTTGGTTTTGTCATGATGCGGCTCAACTATGTTTTCATAGTACTGAGATTTTGTAATGTCAAACATGGTGTTTACTTAATCTCATAACACCACTGCCGCAAATATATGATTTATTGTTAATTGTCATTGAAGACAGCATTTGAGCAGTATTATAAATTTGTCAGTTATATGGGTTCAGGTCTCAACTTTTAAATAAACATGAATCTGACATAATAAAGCTGGTTTTTGCTATATAAATGCTTTATGGCTTACAAATGTTAATAAACGACCATATTATAACCAGCATAGAATTTTTAAAACTATATTAAACTATTGTTGTACAGTCATGTAAAACCATGATAAATTGTTTGTAACATCAATTTTCATTGGATAATTTATGTAACTATATTCATTACAATCTATATACACGGCTGCTGTTATTTTCATTTTTCTTCAAATAATAGGAATTGTGGTGAGTCTTAATATATAAGCTTACAAATGTTTATATCACCAGTTATAAAGATTTTTGATAGGTTATATACCCCTATATAAATGATTGTTTGTATATTTAACAAGAGCTGCTAGGCGAGGGTAACTGCAAACAGCCATTTATATACGGCCATATAAGATGTCAGGAACCTTTATGATGAATTTAAAGTACATGTACATCAAGGAACTCCACTGAGGTTATAATAATAATAATAATAATAATAAAGACTTTATTTAAAGAGGCAACATAGTTGGGCATGCCCAGTCTTCCCTATGAGCCTCTATCAAATATACAATGTACATAATATAAACATTTACAAACAAAAGGTATGATAAACAACAACATAATTACAAATACAATATAGTTTAGAAACATGTAAAATGAAAATCTAGGGAAAAAACATTATATAAGAATATAATAATTGCAATTCAGATATACATTTATCATTTTATAATACAACTTGATGTGTTTTATTCCCACCAGAGAACCACCATTTAAGATAATTATTTTTGAAAAATTGTAAATTTGTGGAGTTTCTGATATCTAAGGGAAGAGAATTCCAAAGTTTTGACCCTGAGTATGATAAAGATTTTCTGCAGAACTCAAGTCTAAGTTTTGGGATTTGAAGTTGTTTTTGTTGATATGATCTTAAATGTGTATTTTCAGTGTAAGTAAAAAGATTTTGCATATAATCAGGGAGAAGATTGTTAAGGGACTAAAGCCTAAAACCATAAATTTTTAATTTCTCACATATATCATCTGGTGCACCTAAAACGGAAATATATACAAAAGATGATTAAGAAATATACCTAGAAATACACTGAAAAGTGTATGTTTGTGTTATTCTCAGTCCGATTTGAGTGAAATGCTTTTCAATTTTAGGTCATTTTTTACATTTAAAACAATTATTCTGGAAAAAAGAAGCGAGCTAATGATCTGAAATTTTGCACTTAAATTGTTGGTATAGACCTACATCAGATGTGGTAATAATCTCAAAAAAATATTTCCAGTCCCGTCATGTCAAAAAACCTCAGTGGAGTCCCTTTAATAAACTGACAGCAGCCCTGTATATATAACTATATAATAAATGTCCTGAAAATCCAATGAAAATCAACAAGCACTAACATACTGACCCATATAACCTGTCAAAATTTATTACAACTGATGATAAATACATGATTTAGTAAATAAATACTGTATCATAATGAAGGTTTAATTATCAAGGCAAGATTCACAATCACAGTAATTTATCTCAGTATGAATAATCAATTCAAATTAAAAATTACAAATATTAAAACTGCTGGCCTCTAAGTAAATATAATTTAAACAAAAGTCGTCAATACTGGTCAGGGTGCTCAACTCGTCACAGCGCTTGATAGTAAGACAAGAGCCCAGATAATGTAGGTATTTACAAATAAGAGGAACATTATATTCCAAATACATGATAACTATGGCATCGAGTTTTGGATACTCACCAAACAATTTTATAATTCACTTAAGGTCAAATTTCTTTCAAGTCAGAGAAATGGGCCTTGGAAAGCGAACTGTATTTATCCATTTTTGTTCAAGTGAATACTAAAACTTTAACCAAGAATTTCAAAGTTCACAATGGGCCATAATTCAGTCATAACTCATACCAGAGTTATGGGCCCCACCCCTGAATCTTAACAATGTATTTTTGCATAGTCTGAGGCATTTGATGATTTCAGATAATTTATGTAGAATTTAAGTGCAATATGCCAGCATAATTTCTTTTTTATTCGTCGGGTTTTAATTTAAGTTGCACCAAAACAATTAATAGAGGTCATGTGACTACTTTTCCAGTTTTATTGGTGAAGAAAGACCTCAGGCACTTGAGTAGTAGAACCACCAACATTCCATAAGCTAGCTGAATTTTAAGTCCCTTGCAGGATTTGAAACTGTCAGTGGTAAGGGGGCAAGTACTTTGAAATCAACAGCTTTAACCAATTGGCCACAGAAGCACCCACTTTCACTATTTAAAACACTTTGTAACTTCTCATCAAAATCAGCACTAATCTCAAGAAGCACATTTTTCATACAAGTATATTTCTTACAGAATAATCCCTCTCTATAACTGTAACATTGTACAGTTTTGACGACTGACTGGAAAGGAAATACGCCACAGCAGCACCGACCAATCCACCTCCCATTATGACAATATCTGTGTGGCGAGGTATCGGAAGTTCTGTAGTACTTGACTGCCTTTGAAATATTGGCTTTATGTCCTCTAACAAGATGTCTGTCACATTTCTGAAATGTCAGTACATTTAACTTATTTATTATAACAACAAGCTTTATCAATATCAAATCAAACTCATTTAAGTTCAAGAGGAATCTATTTTTGTAGCTTATAATTTCAAGGTTTTTCACAATACCATTAGTTTTGTGAAAATGTTCAAAACATTCAAAACATTCCCTGTAAATGACATATCAATGTACCTGTATTACTGACCAATGAGTTTCATTAGATGACCAATAAATTTTGTGAAAATGACCAAATAGTTTATGCAAAGCCCGAAAAGGCACCAATTAGTTTCCAATAGACAATGTCCAATAACTTTTGTGTGAATGCCCCACAAATTTTGTATTTTTTAAATGATTCAACTGAATAGTCTAGATTCATGTAAAGGACTATTAAGTAATTTAAATGGATGAACAAAAAGGTACCTAACTTAATATACATGTACTTACAAAATATTACCTTACCAGTAAAATGGACCTTTTGTACATGTAAGACAGGGAGTAAATTCTAAACAAAAATTGGCAAAAAATTGCTTTAACTGTAATTTTTATTCAATGGACTGTTGATAAACCTATAAGACAAGGTGCACTGTATAACCTCCTAAATCTAAAGGCAAAAATCCTGTCTCATACACAAATAAATATGGTAGGATAGTTTGAAAGAAATAACATATCTTCATATTGTAAAACCAACAGCATATATCGTCACCTTAGTGCAGTAACATGTTATATCCTTCTAAATTTAATAGTAGATAACCAGTTATTGCACTTAGTCTAAAGGTGACCATATGGTATATTACATGGGTGTGCAAGTTAAAAAATTTCAGAAAACCAGTCCTGAAAACCCTGAATTTAGTGCTAATTTTCAATTGGTTTTAAATAGAAAAAGAGAGCTTTCCGGAGTAGAGAAAACCTGAATTTCAGGCAAAAATGCATGAAAACTTGTACCCATGTTTATTAAAAGCATCATCACCTTGCTTCCCCTCCAGGCGGTATATATTCTCTCTCCTGCTGTTCACCTATTTCATTCTTTTGCTTGGAGGTTTGATTCTCTGAAGCCTTGTCACAAAGCCTCCTTGTAAACAATGTCAGCTGGGAATGCAGTCTTTTCAAAGACACCCTTCTTCTCATGCAATGATTCATCTTTATAAATCTTATACCTTTTGCTGTAAAATAAAATTTTCAATATTAAAATAACAAAAACACACCAAAATGCTACACAATGAAACATATTCAGCATTAAAATCAGTAGCAATTACCACTTATTTACATTTTCGACAACCCATGCATACTTGTTATGAATGTAGTTCAGTGGAATTAGTCTGTGTTTTCATTTATATCTTAAGACAACAGATATGCTAATAAAACATCCGATTTTGCCAAAGTCAAAGGGGATTACTTAAATCTACAGGCTGAAAATACCACTGATTTTGACAGCATTTCAAACTGATGATATGGATCGTAGAGCTGTCATTGAAAACCACAATATCAATATATCAATGATATGTATCATCTGATATAATATCGATATGCACTTTCAAATATTGATACAAGCTAAAATTTTTTTATTTCTGTCTTTATTTTACCTAATAAGAGAAGTCAATTTTTTTCAGTTTTCTTGGTTAATTTGAACTTTAAACTCTGTTTTCAAATGTCAGTGACAAAAATAACAGAAAAAAACAAAACTTTCTGTTAGTTTGTTTTATTTGTAATGTCTAATACAAGCATGCATAACACCATGATCCCAATATAAAACAAATTTAAATGTTTTTCATTGTATCCACTGTCAAAGTCGATATATTGTCAATATTTTTGTCTTGATATATCAATACATAATTTGTCATCAATGACAGCCCTATGATATGGCACATGACACAAAGGGACCCGGCACAGTGTTCGGATAGTGTAAAAAAGTAATTCTAAAAAAAATATATACTAAAACAGTGTTTTTTTTCACCAAAATATTCGGCGAAATTCGGCCCCATTCCCCCCTCAAAATAGTATGTTTTTTTCCCCTCTCAAAGCCAAATTTTCCCCCCATATGGCAGCCAAAATTTGCTGCAATGAATACCATTTTTTTTTTTGCATATAACTGCCAAATAATGTTTTATTTTAAGCCTGTAAGACTTACTGTTTAAGCAAAGTTTGTTTACAAATTGTTCCGGGGTATTTATAAGGGGAGCTACTCACGGCTTCCCAACAAGTTTTAACATGCGAACAACTTTAAATTCTGCTGTCCAATATTTTAGATCCGTATATTAAGAAAAAAGCGACGTATTTTTAAACTTGTTGTTTGCAAGAGTTGCTCCCCTTTTTCTACTCACCGGAAAGAAAACAATGTCAAACAAAGTAAATCTTACAGTCATTGTATACACACCGGTCTCTTAAATATCGGTGTACACAATGATCTTACAGTGTTAAGTGGTGTTACTTGTATTAAAATATGCATTGGATTCGTTTTTGTTTCTCCTCATTTGTGAAGAAATAAAATTCCCCCTCCTATTGCATTTTTCCCCCTCCAAACGGCACCGACCCCCCTTCCCCCAAAAGTGAAAAAAAAACAATGTGAAAATATATACAGTATTATATAATATATAGACTATATATTATATATATACACTATATATTTTTTTCTAGAATTAATTTTTCACACTATCCCAACACTGTGCCTTGATATGACACAGATATAATAACATGGGCTTACAGCTGGCATTTATTTGTGTTATCTTTCTTTTATTTATTTTTTATATTATTATAAATTACCGATTTTCTCCAACAATTGCCTGTAAATATCTTACAAATGCATGTAAAAATAGTACAATTTATTTTATAATTTAAAACTAATTGCAAAATCTAATATTTTAAAAAGAAAAAAAACAACAACATTGAATCAATAGTATAACTATATTGATGTGGCGGCGCGGCCGAGTGGTTAACGCGTCGGACTAGTAATCTACAGCTGATCTAAGGATTGCTGATCGCGTGGGCTCAAACCCTGTCAGGGCCAAGCAGGGTTGTCATTAACATTTTTTGCAGAAGGTTTGTTTTAAACTTGAGGCGGTCATTTCTGTCTTTATCATGCATAACAAAGAGTGTTTTCTTAATTTTGAGGCGGCCCATAATGCATTTGAGACAGGTATTTTGGCCTCCTGCCGCCTCTTAATGACAACCCTGCCAAGCCGTTGTTTCCTTGAGCAAGAAACTTTACATTCATTGCTTAGTACTGGTTGGTTCCAGGAACGGATTCGAGCGTGTTTCAATAAGCTTAGCTATAAGTTATAGCTTCCAACACAATCAAACCAAAATAAATTTGTATAAACTAACTATATTAATCCTTATTAAGTAAAGATTAATGTTTTTTCTGTTTAGTTTTAAAATATAAAGACATCAGTAAATATTGTCAGCTACTGTCTACACGACATCGAATGTCAATACAAAATGGGTCGAAACAATTGTGTACGAATCTACGTCTCTGGCAAGCACGAGTGTAATTTTTACCTCTTTGTGTACGATGCCAACATTCACCTTTAGCACCTTTATTTACTATAATGTTCCGCTCGTAGCATTAGCACTCTTATTAGTATTGCATTATTTTCCTATGCCAAGAAAAATTAAACACATACCTTTAAGGGTGACAAAAAACTCAGCAACCTACAATGTTATGTGAACTACATCACAAAACATGTGAAATACACATAAACTGATGACGTCATATGTTACTACACAAAGCTTTGTGGAAAGTGAAACTTGAAATGTGATTGATAAACGTGTTTTGGAGTAAAATGCTGTATTTTAGCGTATGGCAGAAGCATTTAGATGGAATAGGTTGATAGTTTTCCTCAATGATGATTTATTGTGTTGTCTTTTGTTGTATAAACTCGCTTGTGTATTAATTTTTCATTCAGGTAAGAATAAATTGATACTGTAGCAAATTAGGCGGGCACCTGTTATTTATGTACCAACTCTATTGATTCTTAAAGAATGTACTACAGTTCTATTAATAGAAATGTAAACATACACACAATATTGCAATTGTTAAATAATAGAATCTAGTGTAGAACAATTCCAATAGTTAAGGACCGGAAAAATATTCAATCTGAATTATATTCTTTCAAAAGTATTGGAATTATTATATTCTGTATAAGTGTATTGTAATTAAACATTATTAATTAAATCTCAGTATCTGACATAAAAAGTTAACAAAAGGTGTCTTTCTAAAATATTTTCATCCCTATGCATGTATATAAAAAAAATTGAAACTTTGTCAATAATTTCTGTGAAGTCTGATTAAAAAAAAAGTTATAAAGAAACACTCTTTATTATATTTTTTTTTATATATTTTTTTTTTTTTTTTTAGAAAATCAGACATATACATGTATGTCATACCCCTATATAATTGATTAAATTTTAAGTTCCTGTGATCAGACTAAAAACTGATTTAAATAAATTGTTTTTAAAATTAATATATTTTAATTTAGGTATATTATAGTAAGTCAAAGGTCAAGATCATAATAAAATTTTAAGAAATAAAAGGAGCTTTATTAATTCTATGACCACTATCGTCTATGCCAACCTAAGGTTATGAATTTGCATGTGATGGTATTCATAATATTTGAAACATGACAATATTTTTCATGGTTTTTGTGTCGCCTCTACGGAGTAGTGGCGACATATAGGGATCACTTCTCCGTCGTCTGTCTGTCCGTCTGTCCGTCTGTCCGTCTGTCTGTCTGTCTGTCTGTCCGTCTGTCCGTCCGTCCGTCACAAAACTTGTCCGGACTACTCCTCATAAACTACTGGTGCAATTTCATCCAAACTTTACAGGAATGATCAGTACCAAGTCTAGTTGTGCATATTGTCAGGATTTTCCGGTTCAATGATTTTTGTCAGAGTTATGGCCCTTTAATAATTTTTAATTTTAAAGTTTGTCCGGACCACTTCTCTTATACCACTAATGCAATTTCAATGAAACTTTACAGGATTGATCTGTAGCTCAAGTCCTTGCGCATATTGCACGGGTTTTCCGGTTGAATGATTTTTGGCCGAGTTATGGCCCTTTGATAAAAAGGTTTCTTTTTTTGTGTGTTGCCAGATACACAAAAGCTTGTCCGGACTACTCCTCATAAACTACTGGTGCAATTTCATCCAAACTTTACACGAATGATCAGTACCAAGTCTAGTTGTGCATATTGTCAGCATTTTCCGGTTCAATGATTTTTGTTTGAGTTATGGCCCTTTAAAAATTTTTATTTTTAAAGTTTGTCCAGACTACTTCTCTTATACCACTTATGCAATTTCAATGAAACTTTACAGGATTGATCTGTAGCTCAAGTCCTTGCGCATATTGCACGGGTTTTCCGGTTGAATGATTTTTGGCCGAGTTATGGCCCTTTGATAAAAAGGTGGTTTTTTTTTCTGTGTGTTGCCAGATACACAAAAGCTTGTCCGGACTACTCCTCATAAACTACTGGTGCAATTTTATCCAAACTTTACAGGAATGATCAGTACAAAGTTGTTAGTCTAGTTGTGCACTGTCCGTCTGTCTGTCCGTCTGTCACAAAATTTGTCCCAACATGAAATTGGCCATCATGAGGCGACACATGTGATTACTGATCGCTCTTGTATAATATTTCATATGTAGGTCTACTCTGACCAAGACCCATAAAATTTCTACCTTGACTTTACACCAAATTATTTACCATTATTAATTTCTGAATGGCTCTTTTTCTATCAAGTACTGAGCATTGGTGAACACTGTTTCTACTACACAGTGTTGTTGAGTTGAACTGTACACTTACAAATTTTCCAGACCTTGTATCAACTTGGTCACATGTTATACAAAAATTAACAAAATTTAAAATATACAATGTATATATAATGGATAAATAAATAATTTAATATTTAGATTTATTTTTTTTTATCAGAATGACTACTATGAGGCAGAGAGATAGAATTTTATCGCCACCTAGATTCCGTCGTCAAACAATAGGAATGGTATATAGTCCACCAAATAGCCAGAATGTGCCTAACTCAGCTAGACATTCAACACCAAGGCCTAGGTCTGCACTTGATAGGAAATGGGTGAGTAAAATTTAGTGTGTTAGATCAAATAATCATGGTGCACACTTAATGTTTAACTTGTTATCGAATTTAACTTTTTGTTTTGCTATTGTCATATGTTACCATTGATACAAGTGATAATGATAGTTGAAGAATATTTTAATTATATTCCTAATAATGCCAGAAGGTATATAAACAGTTAAACTTTATAAAGTTAAGAATCATTTTCACTATGCTTTATTACTTTAACAGATTGACATGACTATCATGAATAAGCATTATTTAAACTTTCAGGAGATGAATTTCATGAAATCTTGCTCATTTATTAAAATGATTGTTTGTCTTCCAATTAAGAAATAAAATTATTGCTTCACAATGAGCTTCTTCAGTCATGTTCAAAATAGAATGATCAACAACTTTCACTTGTTATCTAAGTATACATGTATTTACAAAGTTGTAACTGAACAATTTTGTTAACTTTGCAACATAGGGTAAAAGGGGTAAATATTTAAAAAACCACATTTGCCATCTAATAATTGAACATGGCTTCCATTAAGTTCCAAAATTTGGAAATCAGATGCTGAATATTTCTGACAATGGAAGTCAAATTATATCTATAGGTAATCCATATTAAAGAAGGAAAAGCAATAAATATTAGAAGTCACAAGCCAAAATCAGGAGAAAATGATTCCCAAACTTCCACTAATGGATGCCCTGATTGATCAATTTAAAACTGATTATTATGTGCACAGTTTTGAAATAAAGCGCTATCATAGAAATATGCCATTTCGATTAGGTTCAGATATTTTGCTGGATTTTAGACCGGATTAATTGAGATAACATGATAAGACATAATGTAATCTATAAAGATCTGTATGATTATGCTATTGGAAATGGTTCGTATTTCATAGTCAATTATGTGTTATATCAGACAATCCAAAATGTATATTAATAGCATTATCAAATACTAGTGTTTAAAAATTAGTAAATTGTGTACTTTGCATGATTAACTTTTAGGTATTTTTGTATTTGGGTTACTGACAATGTTAATAGCATAATTGTTACGAAGATGATGGCTTTTTGAATGATGACCAGTATTGTAAATATATTGCTGAATTGCTAGAGATAGTTTAAAACTTTAAAGAACTTGATTAAATATTTTCAAAACCTGTTTAGTTTCCACTGTTATAAAAAGCGTGAGATTTTACTGTAGTTCACAATCATCATTACAATTCGAAGGGGACTGTCCAAATTTGAACTGTATATAATTCTGTACCTTTGTCTGAATATTTTACATTCATGGCATTTTTTTAAAACCTTTAGCATTATCATTAACCACTTATCATAAAGCATTTTTTTGGCACAATGTCTGAATAAAATCTTTTTATGCAGTTTTTTTTTGTTGACAGTTTTAAAGTTATAAAGGTCAAGAATTCCGAAATTATTTGTTTATCTCCTGATTATGTTTGTTTAAGGATAAGACTGTACTTTGCCATCTCTGACAGAATATATCATAAAATGAAAGATAAAAGGCCTACGCAAATATTTCCTCCATATACAAAACAAATATTGACATACAGGCTTTGACATATAAATTTTGTTGTCTGAACATAAATGTTTATTAAAGTTAGGCATTTAAAACACTTGCTGTGAAAATCACTCTGGACATATGTTTGGTAGCTTGAATTACACTATAACATGTATGATAATTTGTTCACAATGTTACATTAGTTTGTTGGGTTGAAGTTATTATTGCATTTAACAGTAACTTAGGGACCACTGAGGTTTTTTGACATCATATGGGACTGGAAATAATTTTCTGAGATAAATGTTCCATTTGATTTGGGTCTTGACCAATAACGTGTGTGCAAAATTTCAGATAATATTTTCTCTCTTTGTTTCCCTAAAACAGTTAAAACGTGTAGAAATTGTAAGAAATGACCCAAAAATTTGAAAAATGTTGCAACTCATATCGGGCTACCAAGATTTGCACACAAAATATGAGTTTCAAGGGTTTTTTTGGGGGTATATGTCTTGATATTATCACTTGTATTTGTTTCTGTTTTAATAAAGTGTCCCAGCAGATCTATGAACAAGAAATATATTTTATTTCCGTTTTGTCTGAAGGATTCTCGTTTCTTTAATACTGTATGATAGAAACTGCTCACATATCATTTTGTTAATTTAAGTTGAAATTCAGAGCAGGATAAAGTGGACAATAGTCAACATGCATAAGCTAGATTTTGAGATTTTTTTGTTCTATTTACTGGTCAGAATCTCGCTTCTATGAGGGGAGAGGGGAGAGATTGCTCATTCACAAAATAACACAATTAATATGATCTCAACCCGCGACTAGTACAATAAGTTATACTAAAGTCAGCAGGGCGAGGGTTTTTAAATACCACTTCTCTTTTATGTTTTATAACTTCTGAGATAAATAATCCTATTTTATCATGTGGACTTGGCTTAATATGATATCAGTATTACCTGTATCGCTATAAATTCTTAATCTTAAGCTGTAAAAAGGTAATTACTTCTTACGGGGCTTTAAATATAACAAAGTGTGCATTTCCTTAAATGTCGGTTTATTTTATAGGTATTAGAAAGTCAGGCATTCCTAATATGGGTTTATTATGCATTTAAATAAAAAAGGATAAAAAAAACAAAATACCAATAGTGTTGGAAATATAAGTTGCATGGATTATCCTTACTTTAAATAATCTGATTGATAATTTCAGATGAAAAGTTTTGAGTATCCTAATTTAATAATCTGAAGGATAACTTTAGATGAAAAGTTCTGATTATCTTCAGATCTGTAAGTTTCTTACCTTGAAGCAGCATGCCTCTAGATTTATGCTAATTTTCATGAAAATTTTGAAAATGACTATTAAAAGTTTAAATATTCTGAAGTGAACAAAGAAAGTAGTTTACACATTGCCTGCAACTGTGAGTGACTTTTAAACCATGTATTAATTACCCCCCAAAAAAGCTCAAAATAGCCCTTAATGGGAAAGTAACAGTAGAAATAATTATGGTGATGAATATACTGCAAATCAGTACCACACATTAATATAATATTTAAAAGTTATTACTTGAATCATAATTTTTTTTACTGTTCTTAAAATCTTAATTACAACACTTTGCTCATTAGTTATGATCTTGAAATATTTTGGCTAATCTGGAGGCCTGCAGCTTTAAAGGCAATATTCAAGGTATCTTCTCAATACTAGCTGTACATTACAACAATTATAATAAAAATTCAACTTGCCAGACTTTTTACATGTTTAAATAGACCTTATTTCAGCATATTTTTTGGCAACTTTAAATTATTAAGTAGAACTTTGACCTTTGAATTGACTTATTTATCCTTTCATTAAACCCAAAAAATGAAAATGTTTTTTTAAGTATTCTTATTCGAACATTCAATATTTTTCTAAGTAATTGACCTTTTATTTGATTTCAATTACAGAATTGAGAAACATTTCCCCCCTTAGGGAAGTTATCAAAAGCTTTATTGATAGGTGTGAATTAATATACACATTACTTCAAATATTTGTTTTTCATAATCTGGCAATTTATTGAATGTTGTATAAATCCATACTGCATTAGGTTGAGTTACTTTTAATTGTCACCACATTTTTAATGTGTAATTAATTGTGGATCGAGATTGGATAATTTAATGTGTTTCCTGATTAAGTCTTAAGCTTAAAATTAATTTAGTTTACTTCCTGATAAAAAATCTAAGCTGCTAGCTAATTTCCTTATAAGGTTGATTAAATTTATCAAAAATTACGAAAAATTACCAAAAAAATAATAAATAGAAAGGCCAGAATATGCAAAAATAACGCTTACTGTGTTTGTAACCCAGTATGATTATGGTGCAAAATTATTCACATGTAAATTATTTCTTGAATTGTGAATATTTTGAATTGTTAATATTTTTATACTTTTAAGATTTCTTAACATATATCATAGTTCATTTTTCTCAAGGCTGAAATTAATTACAGGAAATATTTTAGCTCATCTGGTGGCATGCTGCTTTTAAAAGCTTTTAATTTGATCAAAAAATATGTGTTGAACCAGGTACGTTTATTAACATACCTGGTTGAACATGGCTACAGGACAGTCTGACTGGTAATAATTATAAATAATAAATTTCACACGTGACAATTTAGTGCATCAAGCATGTCAAGTAATTGTGTAAAAACAGGGATATTTAAAAACCTTTGATTTTGGAAATTTAATCATTGAATAAATATGAAGGTATGTCAAGATTTGTGTCTATTATTATAATATATTATTGGGGACTTTTACTGCCAATTTTAGTACCGAGCCTTGAAACTTGATAATTTGATTAAACGCCTATTTCTAAGTATAAAACATATCCAATGGCCTTGTACAAGATCCATGATAAAAATTATGCCAGCCTTAAATATTATCCATGTACTTTTTGCATTTTTTTTTCCTGTTGGCAGTTGTAAAAGTATTAATTGTAAATAGTAATTAAAACAAATTATGACCACATGTTGAAAAAGTCTTTTAAACATTTTGTGAACATTTAGTTTGTGTCAAAAATCTAAGAAAAACTATTCTGTCAAGACATTTAAACTCCAAATTGGCATTAGAAATCAGCATTTAAATGAATAACTTATAATGTAAAATTGTTGAACTAAATATATATCTTGTTGACCACTGTATTACAGTATTTCACTTAAAACTTTGCTTATTTGTTCAGAATCACAGTTTTAATTGACCAAGACCCATAACTCTAACTTTAAAAGTAACTGAATTATTCCCCTTTGTAAATAGTTCTAAAATTATAAGACATTCTGTACAGCTACATCTGTATCATTATATTTATCAAGCTCCGAGAGTTACTAAATATAGCAGAACATTATATGTGACATATTCATTTGTTTATCCCAAACCAAAATGCATGCCTGCGACAAGCTTGCCGCAAGCTTGTCACAAGCTTGCCGCAAGCTTACAGCTTTAATACAAGGTTGCTGCATGCTTGCAAC